GAGCTAGAACTGCTCAAGCATGAAAATGCCGAACTTCGCCGCGAAGTCAGTGCCCAAACGTCCATGCTTACATCTCGCAATCGCGAAAAGGAGAGATTGTATCAGGAGATTGAGGACCTGAAACTCGGTCAGCGTAGAGCAGATGCCGGCCGCTCCGTGGCGGGGGATAGTATTTTTGAGCGCTCGATTTCACGGGCTCAGGATCGCTCGCATTCGCGCACTAGTGATGGGACGAGATCGCGCGCCAGTGACGCCGAGCGCGAGAGTCTCGAGATCAAGAATGGTGAATTGCGCGATCAGGTGTCGACGCTGAAGCTTGAGAATCAAAGTATTCGCGCTCAGCTTGACGAGTGCATGACTGATCTCGAGGCGCTCGATCGTGCCTATCAGGCCGATGTCGAGCAGGCGGAGGACGATCTGCAGAATATCCAGGCTGAGAGGGACCAGGCGCTGCAGCTTGCCGAGGAGCGCGAGGAGGCGTTGCAGGATCTAAAGACTGAGGCCCAGGAGGAGTTGGATGCCATGGGCGATGAGCTCGATCAGAAGATTGACGAGTGTCAGCGGATGGAGGTTGAGTTGTCCAATCAGCATGAGAACCTGAAAGCCTTGCAGGCTGAGATGCGCTCGGCGAGCGAGGGCATTATCAGGCTTGAGGAAGATGCGCAGAATAATCTGCAGAAATATAAATCTGTGCAGCAGGAGTTGGACGACGCGAATCGCGAGCTGGAGGCGATGGAGAAGAGTCTCTTCGAAGCTAATAGTAAGGTCCAGCGCTTGACTGTCCAGCAGGAATCCAGCCAGAATGAGATTGCGTTCCTCAGAGAAGAGCAGGATGGCGATAAGATCAAGATTGGCGATTTGGAGTCTGAGCTGAAAACGTGCCAGATGAGTCTGCAGAGCGAGAAGGATCGGGCCAAGGAGCTCGATCGCCGGTTGGCGGAGGAGAGACACCAGCGGGAAGTAGTGGGTAGTAAGGAGAAGCAGGAGGTGCAGCGGCTGATGAACGAGCTGAACCGCGAGGCGACGGCGGCGAAGGATGAAGTGCGCAAGTTGAAGAAGAATCTCTCCTCGAGGGAGATTGAGGCGACGACGTGGAAGGAGCGCTTGATGGAGCTGGAGAATAGTCTGCGCGAAGCGTTGGGCGATCTCAACGGGACGCGCTCGAGTTTGCTCACGTCCATCACGAAGCTGCAGCAGGAGCTTGATTCGACGGCATTGGAGCTCGAGAGTACGCGGACGAAGCTGGACGAGAAGGAGTCTCTGCTTCGGAACCGCGATGCGCTGCTTGAGAGCCATGGGTTGGAGACTCGCAAGCTGGCCGATCTTTTGGAGCGGGAGAGACAGGCCCATCGCGCTGATAAGCATTCGTTCGAGCAGTCGTTGAAATCGCACCACCAGGCCTCTCGCACCATTACACAGAATAATTCGCGCATTTCGGATCTAGAAGCTGCGCGGAGCCAGGATCGGAAGCGGTTTAATACCCTCGAGCAGCAGTACAAGGACCAGCTTAACGAACGGAATGCAATGTTCCTCAATATCTGGAAGCGCCTGTCGGCCATGTGCGGGCCCGACTGGGCCCATTCGAATAGCCTGATCAATGGCAACCTCCCCAGCCAGGAGGTTATCGGCAACATGCTATTCTGGCCTGGGTTCAGCCGCAATCTGCTCCTAGCCGTGAAGACAGTCGAGAACCTGATTGGCGGTTTCAAGACGCGCATCAAGGCTGTCGAACGCGACCTGACAAAGGAATACCAGAACCTCGAACATAACCTCAACATCCGCGTCAAGAAACTGGAGCGAATGGAGGATACGGTGCAGAATCTACGCATAAGCCAACATCACCATCAACGCTCGGCCTCATCGAATAACCCGGCCAGTCCTGAGATTTCAAAACTGCGCGGCGAGAATCGGCTGTTGAAGGCGGAACTTAACCTTTTGCAATCGCACTCTCATGCTCGTGCCGCGAACGCTGCTGCTGCGGGTGCCACGCCCGGTGGACCTGGCGGCGGCCAGCAAGCCGCATCCAGACAATCGGCCACGAATCTAGCTGCAAACACGCTATCGCGATACAGCTCGACCACGGCCGTCGATAACACCTCCATCGCTGGCTCACAGCATCAGGCACATAGAAGCCCCAGCACCATCTCCCGTGGATCCTCAGGCATCCCACAGCCGTCACATTACTCATCCTCGTCAACGCTGAACAACAACAATAATAATAACAATAACCCTACCATCGGCATGCAGTCCAGCATGACCCAGTACCAGCCCCAACATTCCTCCCCGCGCCACTCACACACCGCCTCCGAACCATCGCATGATAAATGGATCCAGCGTCTGCGTGAGCTGGAGAGGCGGTTGAAGGAGGAACGAGAGGCGAGGATCCTGGATCGCTCGGGGGCGCGGAAGAGGCTGGAGGAGCAGAGTGCGAGGAATCAGGAGCTCGAGAGGGAGTTGGCGAGGCAGAAGGTTAGGGGACAGCAGGGGGGTGCGGGTGGGGGTAGAACTCGCCAGCTGATGTCTGAAGATCCCAGGGCGTTGGGTAGGAGGTCGTATAGCGATGCGCCGCTTTCAAACACTCATTCGGATAGGGGGGGTGGGGATGGGGATGGGGATGGTGAGCTCCGGAGTAATAGTCTTGGACATGGGCATGGGCATGGGCGGAGGGGACATGCGCTTTCTACTTCTTCTGTCGTACATCGTGGGGAGAGGGAGAGGGAGAGGGTTCATTCATCGCATGGTCGCCCTCATCAGCAACAGCATCTTTCTAGAAACCATGGTGGTGCTGGTGGTGTGGTGGAGACGGACGAATATGATGGTGAAGATGATTATGATGACGAGGATGACGGGATGGGGACGGGGACGGGGACGGATGAGATGGATACGATGGAGGGGAGTCGGAGTGGTAGTGGTAGTGGCAGTGCGAGTGTGAGTGGGAGTGGGGATGGGGGCGGGTTGACGGTTGAGGTTGAGGTTTAGAATATGGGGTTTCTTTGTTGATTGGTGATGGTGATGTTGGATATGGTTATTTTTTCTTCTCTTTTTGTTTCTCTTATGTTTGTGTTTTTTGTTGGTTGGTTCCCTCTTAAGGAAGGGCCATTGGGGCGATTAAATTAGCTTGACTTGGAACGAACTGGTTTTTGTTCTTATTATTTATTTCATTTCTGGTGGCATGTTGATGTTGTTTTTTCTTGATGGGTGAGGGATGAGGGAACAAGTAAGGGATGAATGGATTGGTGTATGGTATGGTATGGGTGTCTTTATTATATTTTTGTGTGTTTTTATTTTAAATGGGTCATTTTTCTATTACATGTTTAACTATGGGAATTTCCTGAATCACTTCTCTCCTTTTTTGGATTGCGTTTCTTTGGGTATGATTTGCTGATGGATGAAATTGTATGGGGCAGGGAGGGGGTTGAGTCGATCGTCCTACCTACCTCCCTACCTATCTATCGATTTTATCCCTTTCCAGCGCACTGCTAATGTACTACACCTGATATTATGTCTATGTGAGATGTGGTTTGTTTCTTTTAATGGGTCAGTTAGATGCTGACTTGGTTAAGAGGTGTCTCTTTCTTTTGGAGTTTTATATTGCCAACTAACTAGCCAACCCCTTCTACCCGGCCATACATATCTAAGGCAACCCTTCCCCAGGGCCCAGGCCCTTATCATTATCCCACACACTCAGAGGTACCTACTAGTTAACCTCCTTCCAGAACATCTATTTTTTGATATGTTATTAATGCTGTGTATTTTAAATACTTACTATATGTATGGAGTACGGCACTCATAACTGAACTAAACCAACTAGATATGGGGTAACCAATTACCTTAGTTAATTCTACACATGCCCGGATGGGGAATTCTAGCTAGAGATTATTTTCACTAGACAGATTGATTGATTAGTTATCTCTCTAGGGGTTTAAAATATTGGATTACTAAAGATTAAATAATCCCCAGTAATTAATAAGTGGTTAGGCTAGGTAGTATTCTGCCATGCGCCCTGCAGAAAACAAGGGTCTGTTGAAGGGGAAAAAACCGGCATCCCTGTGGTTGAAGTTAGCTCTGTAGCGGGCTGGGATGGGAATATGGGAAGTTTACTGTATTCTACTACCCCACCAGTTTTAAACTAGTTATTTCGTATGTGATCGGCAGCAATAGTGATGGGTGGGAAGTTTTAAGGGGGCTAAATATCATCCTACCTGTGAGGAAGTTCTTCATATACCCTTTCTATTAACTAATAGTTAGCACACTGAGTGATTCCCTGCAGTAACCTCGGAAGCGGGTTCGCTTGACTTTGCTTTTTGGCTAACCTGCCTGAGGGATATATTTCTAATATATTTACGTACATCATACAACCTGATGATCCTGGTGACTTGACGGACTTCGCATTTTAGTTAACTGCTTGTTGGTTAATTGGGCTTAACTCCGTGATATTGACAGCCCTCAATGCGGACCCGCTGAGAAATAAAAATAAAAAATGGCATGGTCAAGTGGATAGAATGCTTTGTCGTTTATCCTTGTGTCTGCAGTTATTAGTCGTCTTTAGGGTGAGATCTATTCATCCGCTCATGTAGTTATATATAATCGCAGGCAGGCAAAAAGTGTCCGAGAAATCGGTGGTATTTACCGTTTATCGATATGATCTGCAAATGCAGACAATTGTCTGACTATTAGTCTGAGCCTTATCTGGCTCTTCTACTCTGATCTTGTTCATATGCATACAGCTGAATGGAGATGGGGTGAATGGGTAGTAGGATGGTGATTGCAGAGATAAGATTGTGCTTTTGCAATGATCATACATATGGCGAGGCAGACAGCTTAACATGAAATATAAAGAATAAAAGAGTGATGGAGAATCAGTTCTGCGGAAAATGTAACTGTAAATATATAGGTTTCTCATGGCCTCATTTTACTGCCTGTTTGCTCTCCCAAAACAATTTTTCCGCTCTCCCTCACTCAAAAAGCGGATTTCGCGAATCAGCTGACTGATAATACCCGGGCGTTTGGTTTAGTGGTATAACGCCTCATTCGCAGGATTCGACGATCCAATTCGATCTTCGAAATAATTCCTTGACTTGAGGAGGTCGGGGGTTCGATTCCCCCAATGTCCATATTTTTTGTCTGTATTTTGGAGCTGGCGGTCACGTGCAGTTGTCAAGCCCTAGCTGCCTGGGTACCCCACCCCATCATTGCAGTTAACGACCATCGATCTTTTTTTTTTTGACCGATATAGTTACCCCGCGTTATAGGAGGAAATGGAGAATGTTCTCCCGCCCTTACACTTTGGAGGGCCAAGAGCTCCGCGGAAAAAAAGAGCAGGGGAGGACTTGGCTCGCCTCCTCGTTGCTTTACAAACGGACCCAAGACTGTCATGCTTTTCCAGCTGCAACAAACCGTCACGGTGTGAGCTACATCACTGACACGGATACTCCATCAATGGCCAATAAAAAGGGAATATTCTAGATTTTTCCAGAAATGACGGCTGTCCCACTGACGCATGGGGATGAAACCTCAAAAGATTTCAGGACGTTCCGCCGTGGAATCTGCACCTCATGATCTCTGACAGCTTGACAAGTACCGAAAAACGAGTTCGCCTTTTAGTGTGGAGAGTTAACTACTACTCGTACTATCCCTGACATAATGATTGCATGGAAACACAAGCTTCCAGGGCGGAATCCGCCGGAAAGCGTAAGTTGCCACTCATCCACGATCGGAAAATACAGCATCTACTGATTTTTAGTTTCTTCTATTAAGTTTCATGAGCCACCGCGTGCACCATTTCCCATTTAACAACACTTGGAAAGAAAGTTTGTCAAACCCTTGGTTAGAGTCATGACATAAATGCGCAGACGCTGGTTCCATTGGAGCTACCCCACCCTAGCTGCTCTCTTAATTGCTTAGTTAATTGGTACAAGGGAGGCTGAAACTAATCACGGAGTAGTAGTTTCTTCATGATTTCCGCCAATTTGTCAGCTCACTTTGATTCTTTGAAATCAACAAATTGACAATTGCATACGCTAATGTAGCTTGCCTGCAGCTCCAATCTATCGAATCGGGAAAGGCTGTAATATTCGAAATTTTGTGCTGGGAAAACGGAGAAAAAGGAGAATGAAACAATGACAACAAAGTCATCATCGTCGTCATTACATTTCATTAACAGCCTATCGGCGAAAGGGACACTCAAATTTCAATGAAAACCAAAAATACCGCATTCCGATTTGCATTTCCTACCCCCAAAACAAAAACCCCTCCGTTATACCAATCAGAGCAGGGGTACCTCGAGGTACTGAGCAACTCTAGAAAGATGTTATTCAGCGCCCAATCAGCATTTGACCAGTTTGACTTTTCCAAAGGACTATATTGCTTAACTCTCCGCACCACAGCTTTCCGTGGGTAGGCATAAGAAACGAAGTTAAAATTTCCGTCATATCGGGTAGCCCCATGGGCCTAGTGGGAAGGGTGGAGGGGGGAAAGGGGCAGTTAAACTGACGATGGCAAGTACATCATCACATACAGGATTTTTTCGCTGTAAATACCCATCCTATCATAATGCTAGATTTTAGCACGGGTTTGTGGCTTTGATTAGAAAGGGGATATGCTGGTTAGATAGAGTTCAATTACTACTTTTAAGCAGATACTGGCGTGTTACTGATACTACTTGTAAGGTTGGAAACCAAAAATACCGCAATGCACATGCGAATTTATTACACTGCTAATTAGCCTGTGGGTTAATCTATACAGTGTAAATATCTGTTCTTTCTTCTTTTCATGTGCTCTTGTCTTCATTGAGTCTGTATAGCTTCCCTTTGGGCTAATGCGCCCAATCCCCCCCTCCCCCGCGGGAATGAAAGTCACGTGAGGTAACTAGTTCATCTCAGAAAGAAGCTTAGCTAACCTTAATTTATTAATAGAACTCTATTGGAGCGAGTCATGGAGGAAGAACGCTAAGCCAGATCGGGAGACAGGCAGCTCCGCAGCCAACATTACATAAATTGCAAGATTATCAGCCCGTAATCCTGCCTTCTATTCTAATAATTTCAAGTTGTCTTGAAATGCTGTATTTAATATTACGTTAATCTGATCTGCAAATCATGAGAATAATGTCCGGCAGTATTAAATATCACGATTGACATAATCCATACCAGATATTTGTTTACCCTGATACTGTCCATGGATGGCCCCGAAACATGGCCAGCCGTTGAATACCATTGGCTGTCGACTTGGCGATATGCCAGACTCGCCACCCTCAACTTATTTTAGCTTTGCCGTCAACTCTGCCTGGATTGGTACTAGTTACGGGCGGGGATTAGTTTTCAAAACTTCATGAAGAATCATAACACCGACAAACCTAGAAGGCTAGAACTATGTTTCAATTAACTCTGCTGCCAGGTTGGCCGTTGAAACTCTACCCCAGATCTACTTCTCAATCTTCCAGACTTCAGTGTGCGGGATATTCGCTGCCAACAAGCCAATCACCAATTCCTGTCTCGGCCGATCCTCGGTTTGGTCAGTTAAGCTAACGAATGCAAAACTCTCAAGAATAAGCGACTGCGAGCATTACGTTGACCCTTTTATATGGTCGAACGAAACCATATAACTGAGCATCAGCTGCCCCCCTCCCCCCTCCCCTCCGGGGGCCACTTAATAAATCACTCTGGCGAATAATAGCCGCTCTAAATCTCGTCAGTTAGCGTCATTGATTCTTGCCTTCGCGCGGGCGGACGGTGATGATGGAATTAGTACTCCGTACCGTAGAAATTGCTATAGTTTTGATCAAAAATGCCGCAACAAAACAATGGATTGAACAGAAGTGGGCATTGTAGGATTTTGTTTCTCCAATGTGCCCGAATAGAAAGAACACACGCACACACGCACAGAGAGAGAGAGAGAGAGAGAGAGAGAGAGGATGTCAGGCACCGTGTCACGTGCCTTGTTCCTTCGCCACGGACCCCCCCCCCCGGCCCCCCCCCAGGCACCGCCAGGCCCAGGCCACCAAGGTCGCCACGTGTGACTAAGCTAACCTAGCAGCTGCCGAGGTAGATTCAATCCATCAAGCCCGTTCGTCCTCCAACGAATCGGACACTTACTTTAGCGCAAGCGTTGAATTGACTTGGGTCTAAATAATCAGCATATTGTCATAGATCTCCATTACCAATTTCTTTCATGAGAATGTCCACGCTTTCTTCTGATGAGAAAAGGGGACAATGGATTTTTTTTTCTTCCCGATTGATGTCATAACTAACTTAATTGTCCGTTCTGAACTTAGATTATTGTGGGCTAGCTCCCGCTGCCCCGCATGATGGCCATGGTATGTAAAGCTGATCATCCTGTTGTATGGGGTGCGTAATAAGGCGAATGAGGAGTAAACAAATAAACAAATAAACAAAAAATGGTAGTAAGAAATGTATACTGTGTAGCAACTACGGAATAGGTGGGTGTGTTGCTTCTGTTCACCGGGGGGGCACGCCGCCCCGCCACACCTACCCCGCGGCCCCGGCCCCCGCCGACTCGAACCCAAAGGAAGATAGGTTTGGGCCAAAGACACATCGTGCAATCCAATAATTCCCTGTCTCACATGCTTAGGCAACCGTGTCTATCAGAATTATTAGGTTGGACCCATGTTTGTGGTCTCTTTTTGTTAGTGCGAGAATCCACAGGAGGAGGAAGACAGGCTTGGCTCAATAAAGATACATGATCTTGCGATCCATGAATTCCCCGTCCCACGTTCAGATCCCTGTCCATCAGAGTCATTAAGATTCAATGGACCCACACCTTCGAAGTTCGAGGACCATACAAATCCGCCTTTAGCGCCTCATCGCTTCGCCGACAGTAAATCCCTTGTCAATCAGGTGATCCACGGATAAGGAATGACGCCAGTCTACAAAATGTCCCGATGCTGGTGCGTATCGAAAAAAGCCTAAGATCTTGCCATCTCCATCCCATATTACTGAACCGTGGGCGCCATCGACATACTTTTGCGACGAGCCTTGGCCAAAGTAGTCCCACCGCGTTTCGATCCATTCCATCGTAGCTGGCCCGTGGGGGTCGTGGGGGTCGTGGGTGGGTATGCGGGTGACTGAGTAACAGCCTACAATTCCTTCCTCGTATCCAGTAAATGCAGAATCCATGAAGACAGTACTTCCCGACGCGACTTCACTGGAGCGAATGAATCCCCGTAGTGACGGAGCTGGTTTCAGCATATGGTTATTTTCGAAAAAATCGTTGAGGAATGTTTCATTGTCGTGAAGCCTAACGAGCGCAATATCAGTATAGGGGGGTTCCATGATAGCTTCTCCAATCTCCCTTCCATTCTGTGGATGAAAAACCTTCCGCCCATGTTGAACTCCCTGGGAAGCCGCGGTCATAAATTGATCACCATTCTTATCCTGAACCAGGATGCCAGATGTTGTAAGAAGTTCCTGTCCCGACTCTTCGTCCACACCAGAACTAAGCATAATTCCCGGGCGTAAAACAGTGTACTGAGAATCATCGTAGATATCCCCATGGGATTCATTGGTTGCTAGAACGGGTGCGTCCCTCCGTCGGCCCATTTCACTTTCGAAGAGGTAATAGCAAGGACAGCTTGCTACGGCGCGTGGAACGGCTGTCATATCAGTATCATCGCTGTCAAGAACAATAACAACAAAGTTAGACCAATATTGAATCTCGTAGATCCCGATTTTGACCTTCAAAAAGTGCTTTTGGATAAGTTCAAAAAGTTGCCGTCTCTTCGTGGGATCATATCGACAGTCTATATCATCAGACAGCCGTATTCTGGAAGAGCTAGCCCGTTTGATCGGGGCAATGGGGCCTTCGTTGGTTTGGTCGCTGGTGAAGTATGCAGGAACCCCGGCGATCGTCCGCGGCCAGGGCTTGGAAGGCAACTTGTTCATATAGAACCGCAAAAATCGTTTATCAAACGATATAACCTCGACATCCGGGAAAATGGCATAGAGGTACTTGCGGTTTTCGGGGTTAAAGGCTGAAGGATCTCTTTGGAGATCGAAAGGCAGAATTATATGAAGTGGGTGTTGTGCTTCAATAGAGTGATCCCTGGGTTCAGTGTCAGCATGAGAAAGCATAAACCTTCTATCTAGAGATGCCAGTGTCA